AGTCAGAAATTTTTTCACTTGTAACTAAATAATATTCACGATTGCAGAATTAGACACTGAGTGAGTGACTTTGCCTCGGAAACTTAATGGCTGGAGTGCTAAGGCTGTCACGATGATCTTGGACGTCAAACTTTCTGACACGATCTGTTATCCGATATCACTGCGAATAAAACGTGTTTTCGCCACTCAACCCCGAGGTAACTAAAATTATTTATGCGGCAGTGCATCAGTTCTATGTAACTTATGTATTGACAAAATAGTAAAATTAAATTGAAAGAACCATTTCATACCACATACATCTAGGTCGTATTGGAAGCTTTGGAAGTCAAACTTCATTAATACGTCAGGAGTAAGATATAACTGTGCCGTTCCCGTGATGTTCATGATACTTTATTTTGGGAAATACTTTACATAAAACCTTGTTTATATCAAAGATTTCTAGAAAATGGGTAGAAACTTTTTCTTTATTTTTTTCTCAAATTGAAGAAAATATATTTATAAATATTCCATAATTTTTATTAAAACCTCTGACATTTTGGAAATTCCAAAATTTAGAAAATGGAGAAAGGTTGGAAACTTTTTATTACTTTTTTCTCAAATTGAAGAAAGTATATTTAAAAATATGATTTATTTCATATTTTTATTAAAACCTCTGATCTTTTGGAAATTGCAAAATTTCCAATTTATTTTCGAACTACTCCTACATCTCCGACATACCAGCCTACGACTTCTTCCTCAGTTTCCCAGTGCAATTTATCCTTTAAGATCTTAAAATATCATTCACTTTTTAAAAACATAGAAGTAGTTGTTGAGTAATACTAATAACACTAAGAGGAGGAAAAGTTTTGTTATGTTGCATATTCTCTCTAGATCGTTATCAGAAACTCTCAAAATGTGTAATGCTTTCAATATCTTGAGGTCGAGTGCTTGTAGCATTACTTAACTATTTCTATGTTAGCTGTACGATAAAGTAGAAAAATAGTTGCTACATCGGGCTACTTTCGTGTAATGCTCTTCTGGCAGTTCGTGGCCACCTGCTCCCTACATCCCCGCCTCCACGCGCTGCCGCCCGTCCTCCTACGCTCCGGGTAAACAATCTGACAATCGATACAAATCCCTGTGTTTTTCCCGACTTACGAGGGACAGACGGCCGGGAGCCTTCTCAAGGCGAAGCTAGGCGTCGTCCCGCCTCGGCTCACACTTCCAGTCCTCTAAACTACCCACCCAACTACTCACCCGTTAACACCCACTTACACAAACACGCACTCAAATGCCCATACAGACAACCACTCACCCAATCACCTACCCAACCGTTCCACACCAATCACCTACCCAACATTTCACTCCTACTACTCTCCCAAACACGCATCAAATCAACCTAACACCCCTCCCCCAAACACACGTCCAACCAACCAAGAAACCATCAATCCAACAACCCCTACTTCCAACCAACCTCCCATCCAAATATTCTACCACGAACAACCACATTAACCATCCCCCCAATCCCCTACGCAATCACCCACCTAACTCCCCTGAAACACTCACAACAAACCACCCGGAACCCCCCCCCCCACAAATACCCACCTATAAACCCAAACTCCTACCTAACCTCCCACCAAACTACCACCTAACCCGTACGACTACCTACCCTAACAACCACCGTACCATCCACCCCCATGTACCCACCCACTCAACGTCCCATAAAACCATCCACACTGTTACTCATTCAAACTTCCATCCAACCAACCCCACACCCAAATATTCACACTAACATCAAAAAACCCAGTCTCCCCACTAACTTTCCAAAACCACCGACCCAACACTCATCTAACTGCCTATAGAAACACCCATGCAAGCACACACTCAAACACCCACCATAACATTACCTAACACCTGCTCTATCACCACTTCCACTCCCATCTACCCTCCCCTGTGCTGCTGTGGTGAGATCGTTGACCAACAGCTCCTCCTGACAATTAGCTTACCGGCCCAACCTCCCTACCTATTCAATCCCACTTAGAGCCAACTCGCTCGCCTTTCACCAAGGAAGTCCAGTTTCGATTCCCGTCGATACCGGGCAATCTCACGTGAAATTTGTTCTAACAAAACGAGTTTGGCTGCTTCACAAGGGCTAGTTCAACCCTTGTGAAGTGTCCTAAACTCTACCCGTATCCTAATTCCTTCCCAATTCTGGTCGCTGGGTACTGACATTGGCACACGTAGTAGGAGGCACGTACGCGGAGATGTTACCTGGCGGTCCTCTTGGCAACTGACTGCGACGAGATGTGATACATAACATATTGTAAATGGTGGACTCTTGAAAAACTCCTGTAAACGCACTGGTTAATGGAGGTAGTAGGAGGCGCGTACGCGGATTTCTACATGGTGGTCCTCTTGATAAATGGCTCCGCCGAGACGTGATATATGACATACTGAAAATGGAGGATTACTCCTGAAATGGAGGATTGATCCAAGCTGAAAGCGCTCAACGCCCCCAAAGGATCTTGGAGACGCGTTGCATCAATTCAGATGCAACAAATTTAAGAAAATCTAATTCCCCTCCAATCCCATCCCATTGCCCACATTCCGTCTGCTGCCCGTGCACCACCACGCGCGGGCGCACGCTCGCTCTAGTAAGTGGCTGCGGCAAGTGCGTTCCGCGTGGGTGCCCGCGCGGCGCGTCCGAAGCACAGCCGGGGAGAATGACCTCCGCACGTCCCGCGCTCCTCATACGCCACATCGTACGCTAAACAAGTCAACGCCACCGCGATCTCGCTCCTTGCGTTGAATTGATGCCTTATTTTACGTGGCGAGACTCAGGCCATGAGGCCTGCTCGTCCGTCTGACCACGCAAATTTTGCTACGCTACTTGCAGAGAAAGGAGGTATTTCTTGGGCGGGAAGCAGGCGATTTGAATTGAGATCAGAGGCGTCATTTGGGCTTCAGGATCTTTTACATTCAAGTATATTGTGACGTAGTGAAATGAGAAATAAATTCAATTAACAAAATAAAAATAGTATATTAAAAGATTATGAACAAGTTACAATAAATTGCTAATATTAAACACTCCGGCAACCTTTTGCTTCCAGTACCCTGCTTTACCGCAGAAAAATAAAAGCCACGCGTGATGCGAGCTGTCGGACTTCCGTCCCGTGACAATTACCGTCACATGGCCTGACGCCAAAATTTAAACCGGTCGTGGCGACCGTGTGCCTACAGCACGCGAGATCGTCTGGCCCTTACTCTCCGGACATCTCGCCCACGCTCCTACACTCCCTGTACTTACACGTACAACGCTCTCCGATGTAAACTGAATGAGAACGCGGGCGCAGATGGCGCCGCGTTAAATAGTTGAGGCTGACCCCCCCCCCACTGTTCCATAGATAAGGCTCGCTTGCTGTCGGCAAGCGAGGGCTCGCTGGCTAGCATCCTAGGAGTTTACAGCCTAAGGTTATTTTTGGCTCTGCAGCTCTACCTGAGTCAACCGCCAGAGCGCAAAATCCCGGAAGTTCAGGCTCAACCTCTTCCTCCCCCGCAGGGCACTTTCACCGACCTAACGGTTCTGGCCCTAGTGTTAACGACGCCACAATATCTACTAACATGGGACAGCCGGCTTTACTTCCCATCCGAAGGATTTTTTTTCTTTTTGCGTTCGTTGCCGGACCTTGTGATGGTGCCGAAGATGGCACCATCTCGGTACTTTTGGGATGCATTCTTTAACTTTAATAAATTGCTTAAATATACAGATAGTTATATTAAATTTGTTCGAAGAATTGGTTGCCCCGGCCAGGACTCGAACCCTGATGGGCTCCTGATGTACACCCAGCTGCTCTAAACACTAAACTACCGAAATACCCAATGCTTTGATCAGTTTTCATGAGTTGATAATCGCGCTCATTGTCTTCACCCGAGCGTCCAAGAAGGTGACGGGATTATGTATACTACAAGGAGCAATAATCGCGCTCGTGAAAACTGTTCAAAGATTTGGTTGTCTCGGTAGTCTAAGGGTTAGAGCAGCTGGGCGTGAACCAGAAAGCACGGATTCGAGTTCCGGTCGTGGCAACTAATTCTTTGAACAAATTGAATTATTACAATACATTGTTACTCAGTAACATGGTCACTATTTGGATTCTTTACTACTGCGGAATATATTCTCTGAGCGTAATTGCGTCCAAACTGACGGGAATGGTGACAATTATATATACAGATAGTCATATTAAATCGCTCAAATACGATAGACTACTGTTGTAATAATAGGTACTTTCTAGGCTGTAAAGTATTATAAAAATAATTGATTATAAATAAATTCTATAATGAAAAAAAATTATCAAGAGTTTTTTGACATTCTGAGAGACACATTCACCTAACTATTACCTGTTCATTACTCCTGCCTATAACTTGTTCCATTAGACCTTTATAAAAGAAAATTAAATTACGGTAAACAGAAAGATTTGTTCTTCTTCCAGGCTGATAGCTCGCGAGTATATACTGACAAACATTGTCTTTTGGTAATAAACCAAAGGAATTATTATTAGAAACAATTTGAAGAGAGTTCCAAACTTAAATAAAATTGGGAAAGCCATTGATGATTTCATAATCTGCAATATCTTCAAACACTATAATCATTCCCTTGAATTTCAACTAATTTCCAAAAATTAAATGTTTAAAAATAATATTTATTTTTTAGTCAATTTCCAAACGTATGTTAAGTATGGAACACAAAATTGATTCGGGAAGATTGGAAATACTAGAACAAGATGGCAATTACTTTCAAAGGTAAACCGCCGAAATGTTTCACATCCCTACGAGAAACTCACTCTATATGCGTGTCAGTTACAGACTTGTAATTAAATAAGCTAGTAGCCTGCTTTAAATCTCCCCTCTCCTCGCACGACACTCTTTGACTTGGTCTGGTTACGTATTGTGGTCACAAAGAACTTCCATGATACCTAAGCGAACAACGCTCCTTGGTTCGGTTTGGTAACTGTATGGAGTGATTGTAGTCTTCATTCATGTGGTGTTGTAGATCAAAAACTTTGTGAATATGGTGATCGCTAGGATGTAGACTTCTATCAAGTGCCCGAGAATACGTCCACATTAATGGTAAGAGATTTTTTTTGTTTTGATATTATAGATGGCCATAATAGTGGAAGTTCATTATCCACTTTGTTTTCAGCCACTGATCACTAATCACACTCAACCCTTTAAAACGTTGGGTAACAAAAACACACAAATTGTAAGCACACACAATCCTCAGTGTATATCACAAAATAATGTGCACCTGTCAAATTCTCAAAAACGTAATAATTCAAATGTTATTCAATTAGGGAGTCCGGTGTCATCGGGATTTATAATCTGCCTTGTGCAGTGTCATTCAGCAAGTTGCTGCAATTTCTACTAAGCTACTACTGCTAGTAATAATAATGATAATAATAATAAAATAATAATAATTAAATATTCTGAAATACGTTGGTACTGTTCCAATTACACAATTTATTCTGGATGTAGTACTTAATATTCTTTGATAATGTTCCAACAGAACAATATCTTTTTATAATTAATCCAAAAATAATAAAATTTACGATGACTAGGTAAATATGACAGTTATGTCATTACATTATTAAAATGAATTATATTATGTTTATTGTCACAGACAACCTAACTATCTTTAAATTAAAAATAATTTGTTTATGGTAAAATGGATGCTCAATGTCTTTTTATTTGTTTTAATAATTATAATTAGATTAAATATTTAGTTAGTATTGAAGCAAGCAATATTTCTGCAATATTACTGAAAATATGAAATTTTTATTTATGTTAAAATTATGTCTCTTTTAACTTACATTTCTTATTACTGATTTACATAGACATATTTTTTTATATTTATAGAGAATATTACACATGCTTATACATTAATATCATGTATCGTATGGTAATTAATTAATAAGTAATTTAGTAAATAACATGAATATATTGGAAATTTTATTTGAAAATATATTCAGGCAGGGCATTTTCAATAATATAATATATATATATATATATATTAATATTTTGATTTAAACCATTCGTGGATGCCCCCGGCCTCTGAATACCTGTCATAATTGCTAATCTCTCCCAGTATTGGAATATTTAAATTGTAATCATGCTTTGCTTAGGATACCCATTCTACATGGAATTTATCTCGTGGGTGGTGTCTGGAAAGTACGGCCTACGGTCAAACAATTATTTGCTCCGCTTGAACATTCTTTTCACTTGTATTAACACCAATTAATTCGTGATTGCTCAGATTTGTGGATAACTTCACCTAATCTGTCAGGACTATGGTTTAGGGAGAAAACGGAAGTTACAACAACCGGGGTTGAGAAGAAAGTCGGACGGAATGTTAACTGTTAAAACTAGGCGAATGCGGAACAGTGCTACCATTAGCAAACGGTCAGGGGCCGCGCGAGATCTTGCCTTTCTCATCCTTATCCACTTCTGGGTTTACTCAATGGCATAAGGCGTACGCCGGGATGGTTCCTTGTCTTGCACTCCCAGACGTAAATGTACAGGTTTTCCCCCCTCTCGGTCTCTCTTCTTTCTCCTCCTGTGTTTCCTCTTCATTTTCATTTATGTTCTCTTTCTCTTATTTTTTCTTCTCTTCCACTTTTCTCCGTAAATTGATGATGTTCGGCCCTAAGCCGCCATCCTGATTGATGGTTTTCTGGGTTTACTCAATCGCTTAAGACGTATGCCGGATGGTCCCTAGATTGTTCTCCCAGACGTAAATGTACAGCTTGTCCTCTCCTCTTAAAGTGTTATTGCTCTATATGTGTGTAAATGCAGTGGTTGGGCGAAGAACAGGCCCTATGACCTGAGCCTCGCCTTAATAAAGGCATTATTATTATTATTATTATTATTATTATTATTATTATTATTATATTATTATTATTATTATTATTTATTATGGCGTATAGGTCATTACTGACCATGCTACACGATTAACGTGTGTAATTCTTTCAGGATCAGCTTTTCAGCTGTATTCTTGATTACAACAAGGTTGTCACGCCTTGTAGTGTGAATTATGACATGATAGGATGATGATAGTGTGAAGGGACATTAATGGATTAGGAGGTGATAGGATACTGTGAAAGCGTTATCGAGGACTTTTTTGAACCATCCAGCATTCGCCTTATGACCGAGGAAACCACGAAAACCCCGGTCAGGATGGCCGCCGGGAATCGAACCCGGATCCTCCCGATTACGAAGTCAGCGATTGTGATTATATATTATTGTTATTATTATTATTATTATTATTATTATTATTATTATTATTATTATTACAACTTATCCCCCTTTACACGCACATTTACGCGTACATGCTCTAGGCTACCACGCGTGTCAGGACACCAATCGGAAACACGGAGGTTATCTCGGCTGGCCCAGACATCCCCAGGGAGCCTCTGCCCCTCTGGGGAGCTCTGGCCGAGGAAGCTACAGACGTCGACCTGCAGCTCGGCGCTTTTCTAAAATTTATTTTCTGCCTCTTCGACTGTACGAGTCTATATGGGGCTTTAAAAATGAAAATGAATTGGCTTGTTAGAGTTGATCACTCGCACGTTAATTGACCATAATTGTTAGCTCAGAATAAGTACTATTAGTTATGATTGTTGTCAGAAAGTGTTAATATCAAATATTGTGAAAGTGTGGAAAAGAGAGGGAGTGGTGTGTTGGTTGTATGTTGTAGAGTGTAAGTGGAAGGAAAAGCCATTTAACTATGGAGGTCTGAATCGGTCGTTGGAGAATCGAGATTTTATTCTGCGTGGAATTGTGTATGATTGGCCAAGATATAGGTAGTTTTATGTGGGAATGGTGAAGTAATTTGAAAAATGTTTGGTTCTGCAGTTCGGCGCTGAATCTCCCTTTCCAGTGGGTCAGGGTACTAACAACCAAAATAAAACATGTACTAGACTGACGCGACATATTCACATTTCGCTTTCGTATTTCGGGGCACGGCAACTGCACTAGATCACAGCTGTAATCATTGTTGAAAAGCTTAATTATAATTGTTTCTTCCAATTGCAATTTTTATAGCCTCTTAACGCAAACTTTATTGCTAGACATGATTTAACAAGAGACATTCCAGATTTTTCTGTTCACGTGGTTACAGATTTATACGCAGCATAGATTGACACAATTTATTGAATTTTAATGAACAGTTGAGAGACTTCATGAACTTGAGGATAAATATTATAAAGGAAGATCCCAGGGTAAGTTCTTTTCATTCTCTTTTGACGAGAACACTACAGGCCAGTTGCAAAGTACTTGGGTGCTGGAATATTGGTTAGGTTTACGTAGGACGCGACTGAATAAAAATTATATTTTTTCCACATAGAAGCTTCTGAATATTTATTTATTTCTACTCCCGAATGAGTAAGTCTCTTTTTGGCAGCAAAGATTCATGCTTGATGTTCGCAAGTAACCTGTGGAGTCCGTTGCTTGAGTGAGACTAGCCGTAAGCTGACCCTTGCCCTCGCGTCAGAGAATTGCAAGACGGAGCGAATTGCCGAATCAATGGACGCAAAATTAGCTTTTCGATTCGGTTATTAGTATGACTGCACGGGGGAGCCCTTTATCGGGTATGTTAGCCGCTCTGAACCTGTACCTGATCCGCTACGTGCACTTATAAGTGTGTGAGCTGTGCCAAAGTGCTGTGCAAATAAGGAAATACAATACATTTCTTCTTTCCTACTAAAATTGCTCATTTAAAAAAAGTTATATTATTGGTTAAGTTTTCAACAAGTAGTCCGGTAAATGGGTCTTCCATTGCATTATCCTACAATATTCATAACCTTCACTGTACTCTTTCAGTTAACAGAAACCGAGAAATTTCGCTGGTTTGTTGGTCTGTTAGTATCTTGCATGTGTTGAATTACGATTAAAATAACTTAACACACCCTGATGTTTACTTCATTAGAAGAAACCTGCCACATATATCCTCCATCACAGGGAACAATGGAAACAAACCGTCTGTTCAAGTTTGAAAATGTCCCTCAAAATCTTCCATTAGCGTCTCTATTGTCATAAATGAGACCTGATGTAGTATTTAGACACAGACCCATCAAACTCAGTTTGCGAAAAGTGTGAAATATAATTTTTAAATATAAAAATATTATTGGAATAGATTTGCGTCTCTTAAAGTTTTTTCATTACTTATTAAACAACATATAGTTTCAGTAAACGCTGCTTCTGTTTAAAATACAAACATTACTCTTCGTGTTTCGCGCGTGGGGTTCAAAGAAAAATATTTCAATTAAAACGGCAGCTCTAAACAGTCGGCAACCTACCACAGATAATCCAAACAAATATATTAACATTTTTGTCTATGTAAACTTACTTGTTTTTATTTTAACTGGATTTAATATTTTCTGAAACTTCCATGAGGAAAGAATCACGATAAGAAAGAAAAAAAACACTTCATGGACTTGCATGATATGCGCGAGACTCTTAACACGTAGAGCTGTATCCCTTGTCTTCTCAAGGCTGACATGTTGAAGTTACATGGACATGAGAACGAAGACCTCGCACGGGAAATTCGGGTTTCGTCCAGGACACGCTGTGTTAGCATACATTCGTGTATCCAGTTTTTTTTTGCTGCGTCCTAGTTCAAGATAATTTCTCTGCCATGGAACACGTTCTTCACGGAACGGCCCGTGAAATGAGTTTGAAGTGACAGTCGATTTTTCCTGAAAAGATAAAATATATATTATTCCGTATATCTTCGTTGCATTAATGTCTTCACTGAAGAACGTGTTTGATGTTACGAACCCCAAATTAATAAACATAACGCGAAAATAATAGTCTCGAGTGTAGTTGGCTAATTACGTTTCTAATTATTTCAAGCAAGTGCAATTTTATTCCATATGCGTTTTTTATAATATCTATATTGCTTTTTCTTTATATAAAATCTCACCCACTTTATTAATGTAAAATAGCGAATATTCATATAAATTGTAAATCAAGAAATGAACAGTTGCAGAGAAATGGACGTTATAAAAGAAATATGTGAAATATCACTATCGGTAAATACTTTGTGACCAAATTAATCAGAGGAAGTTCATTAG